GCACTGTATTAATATATAGATATATTTTTTATATAAGCCTAATACAAGCGCGCGATAATTAAAAAAAAAAACAAATTATCTTTATCTCTTTGTTGACACATTGAGAGCTTGCTGTATAATTCGTCGAATGGCAAAAAACAAAAAGCAGAACATAAGATAATCAATACGAGTTCTGATTGGCTTAAAAAAGTTCTGCACTCTGCTTTTCTGCTTCTAGTGTGAATTCTTAAGTTGGCAATTCTAAAAAAACTCACTATTGTCAATTCAATGCAGTTTTCGGGAAAAATTTGTGATTATTTACTTTAATTTGCAATTGCTGGCTACTCAAAATCTTCATGATAATTTTAATGATCCATCACTGACAACTGAATTCCTAAAATGTAACAATAAAACTTAATTAACTATTACGATTGCTTTTTCTATGTTTTATTGGGATATTTAATTATTTGATTAAAAAACTAACTTTAATCAAAATTTATAAAACATAATAACTTTGATTTGTAATATTATTAAAATATATATTATTAATATAAAATCATTTATATTAAAATATATATATTATTAAAATTAAATTTTTTTCTTTCTTTCGTAATTTACATATTAGTCATTGGATATTACGCAAGAATAAAAGGCTCATGCAGTATGCATTGGAAAGTGAAATGTTGCGTTTCACCTAATCAACCGGTGGGGGTCATAAGCTACGACGAAGATGTGGGGATCATACGGTGTATCGAGTCTGACCCACTAACATTCTCTTCAGTTCTGCGGCAGGCAACAGTATCAGTAAATCCTACCAAATATAACTCTATAATAAAATTGTGAAACACAATTAAATAAAAAATAAATAACGTATTCCTCAATTAAAACATGCGAAATTATAGTCATTTGTTATTGCTTTCAATGTGTCTAACAATAGTCTTTATTGTTTTAAATATGAAATCATCTACGGAATTGCTTGAGCCTGCAAGTATTGCCGGAAAGCGTAGCTTCCGGAAGCAACAGGAAGAATCGCGCGCCGACTATCGATGGATCGCTCACAATAAGGTAAAAATAAAATTCAAACGCCAATAAAAATGTAAAATAAAAATCATATTCAATTCTACACTTGCTAAAAAATTTTTAAAATTATATCATCGAGAGAATATTTGCTCGATCTTGAAAGATGAAAATTTCACACTTTGTATTCTCTTTATATAAGATAAGAATGTTCTTATATGCTTGAAGCGTAGGATGCAGCGAAAGTGCATCATCGCGCATGTTTCACATTGCAATCACCGAGAAATTAAGTACATTCCATAATTTAACCCACATATGATTAATTATAAATAATTGGTGTTTTTTACGGATAAGCCGTTAAAAAAATTAATGTTAATTTATATCACAAAATACAATGATTGTGTATGTGATATTGTGATTGTTTCAATTATAAAACAGACGCCTCGATATGTCACTCCTTCCCTTGCCGAATTGGGTAACATACCGTACAAGTACAAGCACATCCTTATGTTAACACGCATACCTGGCACAGGCGCTGAACTAATAGTGCTGATCCTGCAGCGTTTGCAAGGATACAATGCTTTCAAACACATACGTCTACCACCGGGCGATCATGGATTTTTATCTACTTTGCAACAAGTAAGCTTAGGAAAAAAAATTGTTTCTAATCTAATTATTTAAAACTCGATATTAACGATTTTTCTTGCAAATTAATAAATATTTCTTTTTATGATTTTGCAAACATCGTCGAGAGTGAGAAATGCGAACTTACATTTTAATCATAAACTGTTTTAACTTGGTAGGACTTACTAGTGGAAGAAATTTCAAATATCGTCAAACAAGAAGCTATTCCCTTAACTTTCGATGGAGATGTAAAGTTTCTAAATTTCTCGAAATTTGGACGGCAAGGACCTACGTTTATTTCTTTAGTGAGAGATCCTTTGGATCCACGCATCTGGCAAAAGTATATCTTCGCACTCTTAAAAATTATTTATTGGAAAGAAACAAAAAAAGGGGATATAAAGATATAAATAACGATATTACTTTGGTATGATTTAGATATGAAAAGGGAGAAGAAGGAATGCTTTATCGTGGAGCTATACCTCACTTTTGTGGACAGGAACCGCGTTGCATGTAAGTACATTTTTGTTAATAAATAAACACTATTACATGCAATACGATATTATTAGTAGTTTAGCAGATAAAAGTAATATCTGCTCATTGCATATGAGTAGATATTATTTTTTTAGAAAAGGAGTTTGAGAAAATAGAGTACCTGTTATTTTCATCTTGCACATATTTTCCTTCAGGGAACCAAATGACACATGGGCGTTAGAACAAGCTAAAGCAAATGTTGTTCGATGGTATCCTGTTGTTGGCATACTGGATTACATGGAGGAGACGTTGAACGTACTTGCAGTCGAATTTCCCTATTTTTTTAAAGGCGCTATTCGTATTTATGACCAATTTCGTAAGTATTTGTATAAATATTTGCTATCCATACCTTTGTAATGTTTCTTATTGATTCGTTCCATCCGTATTATTACATTCATTTCTCACATATAGGGCCAAAAGAAAAGTACCTGTTTGCTTCTTCAGTAACTCTAAATCCATTAGTTATTGAAGATATGCTTTTAAGAAAAGTTCTTGCACAAGAAGTAGAATTTTATGAATGGTTGAAGTTCCGACTTCTCAACAGAACTTTCCACAATGACCGAGTTGTTCCGTGACTTGATTATTCAAAAATAGGATTAGACGTCACAATTTTATAATTATTACACCAAAGAAATAAATTTGAACTTTCCGTGCCATTTAGAGGTTGACTATGTAACTGTATATCCCGTGCAAATCGTTGCAGTTGCATTACGTAGATATACTCGATTTTTTTACCGGTGTGGTACACTGTCTCATCAGTAGAGTAGTTGTCATGGCGCTTGTAAACTTGTAAATTACAAAGTTATTACAATTTTCATATATCAATCTAATTTAATATTTGTCGAATAAATACAGAAAAGTACAAAGAAATGCGTTACGTGTTTGTCGTTTTCTTTCCTTTCCTTTCAAATTCGTCCATTTTCCTAGCGAAAAATGCAACTCAGGAGATCTGCTGTTTATGTACACACAATAAGAAAAGCGAAAATGCAGCTTGTTTCGATTGCCACTACATTGATATCATTGTTTGCTATAAAAGGGACATTATACCGTGCCATTGAGTACGTTGTTTCTGCGCGTAATTCTAAACAAAAAGAATTTTTATTTATTCAGATAAAACGTCATGCAAGTATCTATCTTATGAGCACGATTAATTCTCTATAGAATATAAAAATAATTGTCAATATCGTGACCATTAACTGCACTTTTGCAAATGTATACTTGTTTATTGTGAATGAAAGTCAGGGAGAAAGCGAATTGGATTGATTGACGCGTCGGCGATGCGTGCAGCAAGATAGTAGGATCATGTTGATGTACAGGTAGACAAGCAACAACATGAGAAACGCGTGCCATCACTTCTTTTTCGCGTCTTTTAACCCGGCTCCTGCGTTGAACTTGAAGAAGATAATATCGCCATCCTCAACTACGTAATTACGTCCTTGCTGTCTATACTTGCCGGCAGCCTGGCAATAAAATAAAAAGTAATAAGTAAATAAATGAAGAAAACATAATACGGAAATGATTTTGAATACCTTCACTGCGCCTTCCGAGCCTTCATTCTTGAAATCTTCGTATTTCATTACTTCCGCCATAATAAATCCTTTTTCGAAATCCGTGTGTATCTTTCCAGCAGCTTGAGGTGCTTTCGTGCCTTTCTGTATAAAATAAGTAACAAATTTTTTACATCTATTATTAAAATAAATAAAAAATTAAATTTATAATATTATTTAGTTTTTCCATGATAAAAGAAAAAGAAGAATAATAATGTGTAATACTAGTTTTTAATATTAATTTTATCCAATTAAAATTCTACATTTTCATAAATTTCTATTAATGTAAAATTTTATCGATATTATAATTTAATATGTAATTTTTTTATATTAAAAATTTGTGCTTACCTGAATTGTCCACGCCTTAACTTCATCATGACCAGCAGTGAAAAAGTATTGTAACTGTAATGCCTTGTATCCTTGTACAATAATCTTATCAAGTGCACTGAAACAAAAAAAAAGATATGGAGGAAAAATAATTCAACGTACTTTCTTATTGAAACAATAAACTATTTATGATTAAGCACAAAAATGTATTTTCACGTTTGCAAGTCACAAATAAAATGCGTCAAAACGAAAGGTGTCCGAGCGCCGCATTGTAGAATGAGATTGTCTCGGTCCAAATATCGTCTAATGACAGGTTAGCACACAAGTGGAGCCGTCCAATGTGCGGTAGGCCCGTCCAAGAGTTCAGAGAATACACATAAAGCTGAACGACTTAATACCGCAATTTTATCATTCCGACTCTGACGCGGACCTATTCCTCGGCGCCTCAGTTATCTGCGGTTTCGAAATAAAATCACAGTATCTTTCGTCCCTTCATTTGTGTTGCCTAATTATTAGGCGAACTTGGATATCATAGTCTCTCCGATCATAGACTGCTTGATTCGCCACAAGAATCTAGCCGAACGTAAATGCCGGAAATACCAAATATATATATCTCTCTTTCTACCTATTCCTTTTAAATCAAAATTATTATGTCTCAACTGACTTGATTAATTAAGAGAGATGTAGTTTACAAAATAATAATTCCAATTATATTATAATCCAGAAAAAGAGAAATCATATGCGTAAGTTGTTGCGAAAATTCATACCACGTGCAGCGCACCTATGCCGTAGGGTACGAATGACCCACTAAGCAATCGAATTACCGAACCTTCGTCGATTACTGTTCGCTCCACCCACCTCCCCGATTATGCTAGCGTGCCCGCAAGGGGAGGGAGGGGTTTTTATGCAATTTTGCAAGAATTTGAATAGCCGTTCGTAAAAATATAATGCGCCGCGTCGAAGCAGCCATGGTTTTTATTAACCGTTCCACGTGGTGAGAGTGGGACGGAGTCTAGACGCCGGTCGGACCCACCATTATTATTACCGTTAGAGAATAACTCGATGCATAGTTAAATGTGGGAACCCGAACTTGGCCAAAAGAGACGCATTCGCCAGATTTTATGAACGTTTACAACCTTTTTTCTCTGCAATCTTGTGGCGCTCCGTCGCTGACACCAAGCGATATATGCCGTACTACCAAATTTCTCCGAGTTTAAAGTGGCGATAACGTTGAACCCTCTTATTTGAGTGCGCGACAAAAGCCGCAAGCATTTAGGGCGTAAAAGTAATCGTTATACTATACCGAAGCTGATATTAACCTGGTGACTTTCTGTTCCTCGAAATATTTTGAGCGATCCGTCTCGTCCATGTCGAAGATCTTGTTTTCGAAAATGCCGCTGAAAGGGATTAACACTGCTCCTGCATCGTTTTTGTCAACCCATTCTTTTATTTTAATTAACCTGTTTAGAAAAGATTAAAGAAAAACATATGAGACTCATAGAGCATAATATTGATTAAGAATACTTGTTTCATCATTATTTAAATTGCGTACCACTTATTCTTTTTCCGTATATAATCCTTTTCCGACAGATTAACCAAATAGATAATTGGTTTCGATGTAAGGAATAAATATTTGTTGAGTACTTCAATCTGAAAGTTTATGAAATGTAACGTTAGGAAAAAAGTCTTTTAATAAATGATGAAACACAAAGTATACATATAAAGATAAAATTTTTAAACTTACATCATTGGCACTCCAGTCGGCAAACCTTATGTGTTTTACGTCGTCCACTAGAACGCTTTTTACTTTTAGAAGTGTATCCTGCGAAATACAAATTGAAAATTTTTTTATTCTCTTAGAAAATACTCTTGTTGCGTAGCTTTATTCCACAGCAATCAATCGTAACGTTGCCATTTGTTATTGATCGATTTCATCAGACATTTGGATAATTTCAAGATAGAATCATGATTAAAGAATTCTACTGGCTAACTAAGCGCGCGGTCCCATTAGGTTTGCTGCTAGAGAATGAGAGGAGGAGGAAGGGAAAGAGAGAAGAAAAAATGAAAAAAAGTAGCTTTAAATTCTCGAAAACTTTTGCCAAATTGCAAAGTCGAGAATGAGGGGAAGATCGGTAATTGCCGTGGGTCAATCCGCGGAAGGAGGGTAATCCAACGATCGACTCGTTCCAGGAAGCCTTTGCTTCGCCCGCGTTCTCTTAATTTTCTCGGTAATTTCGTAGCTGGTTTGCAAAGGGGGCTGCAATTGTATTTGGCATTCATGTTTTGCGTATGAGACATCGAGCGAAGAGGAAGAGCGCAAAGAAATTCTTCAGATTTTCGATGAAGAACAATTCAATGAAATGATTGAAAATAAAGTGATCAGAATATTGGTCTTTAAATAATCAAAAATACCAAGTAAACATTGTGTGACATTGTAGAATGCGTATAAATTACGACAGATAATTAACGAAGCTATTTATCCATAAAAAGATAAACAATCGAATGCGAATCGAGCGATTTAAGCTTTGCGCGCGATATTGTGTTTGTTTGCAGGAAGTGCGTAAGCGCATGTTTATGCATCAATGAAAATAGGTCGATTGAACGTTATCGCCGTTAGGAATAGTCATTCTTGAAACGTTCGCATTTTCGTGTAAAATTATCGCGATAATTCAGGGTAATCAATGTGTCACTGTACATATAGGGAAAAGTCAGTGGTTACATCGTGCCGATAATAGCGTACGTGATAAACTTTTTAAGTAAGAATGCTGGAAATACTTTCAAATAACAAAGAAACATGTATATAAAAAATAATTTTCACAAAATAAAACATTCTCCTAATAACTGAAAATATATCTTGATAAAACTGATTCTTTTTCTTGTTGAAGAAATGATTTAATTAAAAACTAGTAATGAAATACTCACGTATTCAGGTTTCAGCTTCTTATCATTACCGCGAATTACAAGCTTTTCGAGTTTCTCAAGATGCGTGTTCAAGAATTCTACATCCTTCAATCGCAGCTCCTCGCTGATAATATCGAGATCTCTCACGGGATTTACGTCGCCTTCCACGTGGGTAACGTCATCGTCTTCAAAGGCACCTGATAAAGCGCGAGTAAATTAGTTTTGTGCGCAAAGCGAGAAAGCGCAAAGCACATATTGGAGCTGCGGTGTTCGTAGCACTCGCTTCAATGCGAAGCTCGCATGTCAATTATTTAAGCGAGCCGCCGCCGCCGCCGCCGCCGCCGCCACCGCCACGCGAAGATTGCCGGGTTGGTTTAATTGAAAAAATTACCACCTGTCGGCGGTCTGCCAAGATGTATTAACCGGCAAAATTACTTCGAAATGTTATTCTCAGTACGAATGTAATATATACCTCCTAACGATCGTTCTCTCTGACGAATCAGTAGCCGTTTGGTGAATAACTATGTGTTACATTATAGCGACGTAAAGTATGCGGGTTAACGTCCTCACGACCCCTGCGGACGCAAGAAATGCCGTGTGCTGTTGATTTTATTAATGACTTCCTTCGAATTCACAAAGTGAATTCCTGCGTTACTTGTGGCAATATTCATAATCTAGTTGACTGCGATAGATAGTATCTAGCATAACTAAAAGCTCATATTAAATGTTCATTAATCATTGAATGCAAATTGCGTAAAAGATTTTTTTAACTTATGCAACAAATTTATCCTTTATTTATTTGAAATGTATAGATGTTTCTGTTGAGAAACAAGCGCAACATAGTCGATGTAAATTATTCAGTAGACTAACAATGTAATGTAATGTGCTTCTAGGAAGATAGTTAAGGACAGTAATAATGTGTGCTCGTAATATAAAAAAAATACACGCTCGTGTACTCGTAAAAATAAATTCGCATCCTCGATTACACGTTCAACGGGCGCGAAGTAAATATAGTTCGAAACTAATCTTCCGATTTCATCAACGAAAATTTCTCCCTCTAACTCGCCGTAATCGCTCTTATCGTGATTCCACGCGCGAAGTGGTTCCATGAAAATGCGCTTCTCTCTGCGATTTATCTATTTACTCGTGGGTGCAATGCACGTCGTTGCAAACATTATTAAAAAGAAATTAACAGAAAATAAATAACATAAATATTGAACGAGTGACGAACATATTCAATAGTACACTCACGACAGAGATGAAATATGCCATCACAAGCTCCGATGTGCGAGAGAAAATTGTTTCCTAAGCCTTGCCCCTCGGCGGCGCCTTTCACCAGCCCAGCGATGTCCATTATGTGCAGGAAAGCCGGAACTTTACTAAAAATCCAAAAATTTCTAATTACAAATAAGTCTGACAAATGCTAACAATCGATATTTCATGTAGTTTGAATCGATTTACTAGTGCAAACGTACGCAGTCATTATTATTTCGGAAATAGAAGCGCTTTTCACATTTATTCCTTTATAACGAAGGTCACTGATGATTGCGATTAAAGGTCGAAGGCACGTGATGTGTGTGTGTGTGTGCACGCACCGACAGAATGGAAACGGGGGATGACGATGACAACGAGGTGTATTTAAATGCTAATGTCAGTGGGCTCATTAAACAATTAGCCTTTGAAGGGAGGCGTCGGTGAAAGTGGACTACCCGGCGGCGGCAGAAAGGGAGAGGGGCGGTGTATTAGTTAGCTTTCATCACGGATCGTCGAATCATCCGACACGTGCCCGGTAGTCGGGGTCGGCCCGACACATAGACGACGAGAGCGCAACGATAATAGGGCGACCAAGAGGCACGGATGAATCGGCCACTCTTTGATCGACGCTGCTTCGCATTTTCAATGCTTCGATTGCCGTCGAATCTGGCGCAAGACAAGCACGATTTGCATTTGACTATTCGCGTATAATGCTGAGCGGCAAAGTAGAGTTTTATTAACTGTTCAACTCAAACTAACGCTCACGAGTCACGCTCTCGCACGCACTAACGCGTTAAACGCGATTGAACGATCGTAATCAAATATTGATACGTTTCTCGTTCAATGTTATATTATTCTCCAAGTGCTATCTATAGATTCATCATTTGTTGCACATTGTTTGCCGATTGTTTCATTTGAAAATCTGCTGTTGATGTTATTCGCAATGTAAAAATGCTGCATCACGTGCTAACATGAATAAAGAATGTGTAGTTTCGACGAATAGGAACTTTGCGTTTCGTAGACGAATTTAGTTCAATCTGCATTGCAGATCGTTCCCTTGCCCCCTTTCCCCCCCCCCCCTTCCTCCTCTTTTCTCCGAGAATAAAAGCGAAGAAGTATGGAAATGTCCCCGGTTATTCCGACTCGTTTCCCTTCACAAGGGTGCATCTTTAGGCGGTACTATATGCTTTTATTCCGCTATATACATTTACCCGCTACGTCAATGTATTTTAGAAATGTTCGTTGCGGCGTGTTTCTTACCTAGCTGGCTTAAAGTATTCGCAGAGATAGTCGAACCTTTGGTCGGGCACCGGAACGCGACGTGCTGGAAAAGAAAATGGAATAGCTTTACATTCTCGATAATATAAAAGCGATTAACAATTTATTGAGTCAATTAGAAAGATTCTTTTTTTATCTTTCATTTTTATAAAAAAAAATCGGAAGAAATGCAATAACGATTACACCGTTTCTATTCGATATTTCGTTCCTCTACAACCAAGCGAGATTAAATAAACGAGACTGAAATTGTTTATATTACATACACGGCGACTATTATTACTTTATTATTGTATAATAATAAAAGTTTACGTGCAGTTTAGAATCGATAGTTTGATTAATTGATATCAGTAAAATAAAATTCGAATAATTAATTAAATGCCGCCTAATTATAGTAAATTAAAAATATAATAATAGAAGACGAGCAATCAGGAATATTTAAATTCTGATAAAATTTATATGTTTATATATCAAAATATACTTATTTTCATTTGGATCAATGGTGCAGAAAGGAAAATTCTCGGCCGCCGCTTGACTCTTGGTGAGAACATTGAAGAAAGTTGATTTCCCTACGTTTGGTATCCCGACTATGCCCATTTTTAAATTAGTACCAACGCGACCGATGAGCGGCTTCCGCTCGGGTTCCTCGGGTTTTTTTGGAGCCATGAAAGACGATAGAGCTAGAAAAAATAAGATGTTGCGTTAATATATCGAGTGTATCTGAATTTTATTCACAAATAAAAAGAAAAGAAGACAATGTGGAACGAGCGCAGCGCGCGAATATAGTATAAAGATAGCATAATCAGCTAACGGCCGTCGCCGTAGATGAGACGTACGTTGCCCGAGGCACACGTCCCGATACACGCATCCCCCGAAATACTTAAACGCAGCTGCGATATTTTGTGTGCGTGCACCGCCCAGAGCACGGCGTGCCAGAGAATCCGCTCCCCGGCATTGCTCTCCCCAGTCGCTCGCGGTAACTAATTATATTAATGCAGACGGCACATCGCGAGCGATTGCTGTATTTACCGCGAGATTGAGCCCCCTCGTCTCGCCGGCATACGACCGGAGCCGCCGTCGTCATCGTCGTCATCGTCTTCGTCTTCGTCGTCGCCGCCACCGCCGCCGCCGCCGCCGCCGCCGCCGCCGCCGCCGCCGCCGCACTGTATCAAAGACCGAGAGAGGGCTGCGCGGGAGGAGGAATCCGACCGGACGAAGACCCAGGATTACTGGGCACCGAAGCCGCGAATCACCGGCATCACGCCGAGAATCCGCAACCGCGCCCGAGGCCGCCAATCCGCCACCGTCTTCGCGGTTCCTGTTTCTCCTCTCTCCACGCGCTTCGCCATCCTCCTTTCTTTTCACCTCCTAGCGGTCCTCTTCCTCCTCCTCTCTTTTTTTCTTTCCGTGCCTGTTCACCGCACTCGCACGTTTTAACGTGAAACCACGGCGCTTCTCGTCGTTTTTCATCGCGGTCCTGAGGAAATTTGCAAATTACGATAATGGAGGAGCATCTCTCGGAGAAGCGTTCCGTTCGCGATGCTACCTCGAGAACCGAGAGCCGTCTTGGCGCCGCGGCGTGACCGTCCCTCCCCTTTTACGACGTCGTCTCACTCTTCGCAGATCGCTAGACGCATGGTTAATGGATGATCTCAGAAGCGCACCGCGCCGCTCTGATCGAGATTAAACCTGAGGCCTCGGGGCTACTGTTAATCGCAAAAAATCTGCGAAATAAAAGTCCTCAACGAGTCCCTGTTGACATGTGAAAAATCAAACCGAGCATTTTTGCACTAGTATTTATAATCGTGTTTCGCAAGATTTTACAAATCAAAATTATTTCAAAAAATTAAACTAAATATCTTACAATCTTCAGATTTTATTCGATCGGGTTTTTGCCTATACTTTCTTCTTCCAAGTTTTTTTAAACAAAAAATATTTATATTTACATTTGCATGGAAGTGCTGCATCGTCGAAGGTTAGGTACTGTTATAACCGGCGCCGTCAAATGGTGCTGCCACATGACGGCCGGTGGATAAAGCAGTTGTCCGAGCTGCACTATAAAACTTAACCTTACCTCACTACCGGGAGCAATTCTTTGCCGGGACTTATTTTCGCGGATAGATTTTTACGACTTACGAATGTTATATCCATATCCATTGTGGATTATCGTCGCACTGCGTTGAGCTTGACGCACATAGCTCATTACACTTGATAATGTCTGTAACCTCTTTCTTTCTCTTTCTCTCTCGCATATACATTCTTTCTCGACTTGTCCGCAAATCAAAATAATACGTTTCGCACTCGTTCCACAAGTAGCATGCACCGCAGTCCTTGGAAAAATACCTTGTACGTCTGGGTTATGCACTCGCAATATGAATATCGATGTGCAACGTGTCGAACACACAACAGGAACACGGCACGTAAACGACGTCACAGATCCGACCGGCCATCCGTAGAGTGCAGCAAGAGTGCAGCATTTTTATTTATTCGCTGTGTACCGCGCGAACGCTCCGCCGATAACATAGCTTCGCAGGAGTGCCAATGGCTATACATGCATATCTCGCAGAATTATTTATTTACATATTTGTAAATATGAATATTGCAGCGTCTTCGTTGAACAAAATAGTACTTAATTAAACATTGGATCGAATAAGATTACATTAATCCTAAAACTTTGCACAATTCCTGCAATTAGAAAAATTAACATATGATCAATCAAATCAAGCCTAAAAACATGCAGTGAACATTGTCATGAACATTGTCACTTAATTACTCATTATTAGTATAATCGAGTATTAGAACAGACCAGTTTATGTCGATCGCGCCCCTTTCCGATGGTGAGTTTGAATTATTGTTTGTATTATTTTGTTCAATCCAATTAATACATTTTCGAATTACTTACAATTAGTACATGAAAACTTTTGTATTATGCATTTCCGATCAAGATGTGATAGTAACATTTGTGATAATCGAAGCGCGGCAATCTCGTACGAATTGTAAGGTTATTAATATGATTTTTCAATTCTTTTTTCGCAGATTTTCTTCTCAGATTGACCTGGCATGAATCGAAAATCATCATTCACAAAGTATATTGGTGAGGAAAAGAACATCTACATTATATACAAATCAATTTTAGAATAAATTTTAATGCATTAAATATATGTACGTGTGCATATGGGTGTGTGTGTGTGGCCGAAAATTTGCAGTCTAGTTATAATAGAAAACACCAATAATCAATCGTGGCGCCGTGCAAAAATATGTAATGTACATTATTAAGTTATTCAGTTGCAACCACTGCAAACAAACTTTTGAAGTGACTAGATGTCACACCGACCGCGTCCGTTATGGGTCAAATTGAATTGTATCATTCGGTGAAGTGGGCCTGATACATCATGATTGAGAATCGGCATCCGCGAAAGATATTGGTGAGCGAGAGAACATTATATATTTACCGGCTTTAGAATGAATCTTATGACGTTGCATAAATGAATGTGTGTATGCATGTGTATGTATTTGTGTGATCGAAAACTTTACAGTCTAGCCATAATGGAAAACACTAATAATCAATCGTGGCGCCATCCATGCAAAAATAAGTAATTACATTATCGTTTAAATTATTCTGTTGTAACCGAATATTTGGATCAGCTAGTTCATCGAATCAACTGCGTCTCTTTGCTGTCGAATGTTGAATTATATCATTCGGTGAGTTAATTAGTATATAAAAACATTTGTATTACGTATTTCTGGTTAAGATGTATCAAGAGAGACGCAAAGATAATACTTGGATAAATCGAATCGCGGCAAGTTCATGCGAATTGTAAGGTTATTAGTATTATTTTTCAACTTTTTCGCAGAATTTCTTTTTGGATTGACCTGGTACAGCGTGGGTTGAAAATCGACATTCGTGAAAGATACTGGTAAGTGAAAAAACATATGCATTATATATTTGCCGGTTTTAGAATGAATCTTATCGTACTGCATAAATATATGTGTGATTGAAAATCTTTGCAGTCTAGCCATAATAAAAAGCACTAATAATCAATCGTGGCGCCACCCAATGCAAAAAATATGTAATTACGTTATCGTTTAAATTATTCTGTTACATCCGAATATTTGGCTTCAATTCAGCTAGTTTATTGAATCAATTACATCTCTTCTATCGAATATTGAATTATATTGTTCGGCGAATTAGTTAGTACATGAAAACTTTCGTATTACGCATTTCTAGTTAAGATATATCACGAGATACGAAGATAATACTTGGATAAATCGAATCGCGGCAATCTTATGCGAATTGTAAGGTTATCAGAATTACTTTTCAATTCTTTTCACAGAATTTCTTTTTGGGCTGACCTGGCACAGCATGAATCGAAAATCGGCATCTACGAAGAATATTGGTGAGTGAGAGAACATATATATTATATATTTTTCGGTTTTAGAATGAATATATCGTATTGCATAAATATATATGTGCGTTTATATGCGTATGTGTATGTGGTCGAAAATCTTGGCAGTATAGACGTAATAAGAAACACTATAATAGTCAAGCAAGGCAATTTTTCTTACTTTATCGCTTGAAAGATTAATTATTATATAAAAACCTTTTAAATATGTTAAATTACGCGATAGTAGAATTTATAATATTTGGATGGAAAAGTAATCTTCTCTTTTGTGTAAACTGTAAGGTTATCAAAGTCATTACTTTAATAATTTATATTTTTCACAGGATTCCTAAAATCAATAAAACCTGGAATCAATAAAGCTTGGAATCAATAAAGCGGAATTAATGTGGCGGAATCAACGTTCTTGTCTTTTGCAGAATTCGTTGGATTAACGGGATCAGCGGCGCAGAGTGGTGAGTGAATTCATTTATGATATCTGTTTGATTTTATATTGTTCCATTATAAATACATTGCGTCTGCAATCGTGTATTGGCACAAGCACTTGTTCGTTGTCATCGTACGTTTATATTATGAGTCATCATAATTTGCTATTATATAATCAATTAAAACATAACATTTTATAAATCATATTTTATTTTAATTATTGATATTATTAATGTCGTTATATTAACAATATTATTAATATTGTTTTATGATAGACATAAATTAAATATTTGAAAATTTGCGTTGAAGTAAAAGTTAGAAATCCAGCGTGAGCTTCTTATTCTCTGCATTATTATGCGAATAAATCGTAAACACAATGAACGTCCAATGTCGATGTTTATCAGCGCGGACGGATAACAATCGACGATGTAAAGGGCTTTTCGCGTCGGTACTGCCGCGACATGACGTCAGTCCATGTTTATGAAGTGTCGCTATCACGACACGGCTACAAGTTATGCCGTGTATATCCAGCCGTTTCCTGCCAGGACAGGCTACGAGCGACACGATACGTGCCGCGATATATGAATGTATTCTAGCCAACGGGGCGAATATTATTTGCGCCATTCCATTGCGTCGATATAGCATCGAAGATTTACGACGGTGAAATCTCGTGACAATGTCTCATGTTCGCGACGGACGGCGGAACTATTCGACACTGCGAAATATTCGCACGTAGCATGTTTGAAGTCAAGTTGAATTATTACAAGAATTATTACAATAATCATTAAAAGCCGCTCGTAGTCTGCAAAAAGTAGAAAATGCTTTGTAAAAAAAAAATCCGGCAGCATATTATTTATTTCGTACATGCGCGAACGTAATAGGATAAATTGCATAAGCGTAATGAGAATTATAAATAATCATCTTGTTTGCTGAAAGTTGCAAAATAGTCCAGATGGTATCCTGATATTATAGTTTGAAACGTCCGGCGAGGAAACCGCTCCGAATTTCTTGTTCGATCATTAGAGTCGATGGCTTGTACGTGTAGTGGGAATGCGTATCGCGTCGGATAACATTAGGGCCATAATTCGAAGGATAATATTAAGATTGGCATGGAGCAAAATAGAAGGCCACATGTGTAGCCGCGACGGTTGGATCGCCGGCGCCATGCGCCATGCCGCGCCGTGAGATCGGACAAGGAAAGGGCAGGGCGCGACTATTCGTAACGATTATTTCAATGTGCGGTTGATTTCTTATTTTCTTATATTTAAGAGAGCCAGAAAGTGTTCCATTTGAAACCAAGAATTCTGTGAGCTTCGTGAACGACAAATTTTGTCGAGTTTTCACATTCGGAAGGTCGCGTTTCTGGGCTTCAATTGTTACGAAAAAACATTGCGTATAAATTGTGCATATGTGTGAATCGCGCGTGTGAATTCTACATCGTATCTTTAAAGATACACGATCGTTCGCGATCTCGCCGCGTGACAGCGGACTTCAGTTGAATAAATCTTGCCATAAGGATCGGTGCATCGGTGTTTCGGTAGAATTAGTAACGCAATCCTTCAATTCGCCCAATATCTAATTTGCCGAAATTCCTATAATTCGTTGGCCGCTAATACCCTTTTGATCGAGATCGGTCCACGAGGTGGGAGAAGGGCGGGAAGGGGGGTATAGAGATAGGTTGCGCGCCGGCAAGATGCTTCGATGTACCGGTGACGTCAGGGGGTTTGCGGTCTCCAAATTACAATATCGTTAATATGCGAAAGCGACGGCGAGAGCGGAGCGGAGCGAAGGGATGAATGCTCTTTCCGCCTGCTCGCCCGCACTCGCGGAGTAATAAGTTTCTGATTATATGCATTATGTGGGCTGAGATTAATATGATATGTAATAAAATAAATGAAACAATATCGTACATCACGTGAATGAGTAGGTATTGATAGATATTACGCCAAATGCGATCCGCGAAAATAGTATGCAATCGAAAACGAGTACGTTCGATTAATATTTGATAATTTGTATTCTTTTCTGATAGCACTTGCCAACAACGCAATATTTAGCTGGAAACATTTGGAAATTGAGCATAAACACGCAAAGAAAATGTATACTTTATACATAGAAGTTTATCTCCGACGAAATATAAATGCAAATGAATAAGAAATATGTTATTTGAAATCTCTTGAGACGTTATGTTATTATTTAAAGACACAAAATGTATGTAATAATAGATTTTAACTGCGCGAAACATTACTGGTGCTTCAGATATAATGTGCACGTTATTGGAACATTACTACGCAGAAAGAATGTACTCTCCTTCGCGTGCATAAGCTAATTTAAGGCAGTGCAAGGCTTAATCATTTCTCTAGTGAGTATCTTAATCTAATAAAAAGTAAGCTCGCGTTCGTTGAGACGTAATGAACAAGCTCGCAGTACAGAAGAAAACATCAGGTGCTTGTGCAAATACCATACACCTTCCGTGGCTTTTATTTACTTGCGGGTGAATTGTAGTAGACTAACATTTTGCGAGAGGTATATTTCATGTCAGAGCACTTGCGAGTGCACTGCATGCTTTTATTGCTAGAAGAAATGTGGAAGGCGGCTCGTAAATACGTGTTCGAATAACAGGGTACGGAAAATAAGAGAGACGGTACCCCTATGCGCAACTCTATAATAAATATATAAACGATTATTTAATGAAGATCTCGTAGGGTTTATGATAAACTGCAGTTCAATTATTTACTCTCGGAAGCTGCAATACACATGATTTAATTCGTTCAAATCTGGCATTTTCGTATCTAAAAATCAAAAACATTTATATTTGTACATAATTGTGATTCTTTACAATAATACCAATTTATATTTTTGAAACAATGTTTTCTCATCGTCAACATTCTCAAAAAAGAAAAAATATTGCTTCAATGTTTTCATCCTAACGAATTTAACATATTTATATGAAAATACAAAAGTGGAAATGACTTTCTGCAAAAATGCAAAAATAATTTCAGGGGGCATTATATTGTTTTATGAATGCGATTCATAAAGTTGACAAAATTTACATAGAAACAAGTAGAATATAATAATCAGGCTGATAGTATTTCAAATTGTCGAATTATGTTAGATTATGAAAACTTGACACTACGATTTATTTTTTTATTTGTGCATCGCATGAGCTACGGATTACGTAATGTATTGCACATTGATAAATTGGTCTCTAGGGATGTGATATTAACTGAATATTTATAACAATGGCGCCGGTAAAATGCTCATGTTAAACTGTTACCAAGAGGGTATTCAATAACGCCGACGATTAACCGTAAAACGAATAGTTTATAGTAGAAGCGTCGCATACGCTCTATTTGCATTTTCTCAAACATGAGCAAGGAAAATGCAGATGAAAAATAAATAAGCAGTTTCTGCATAATAAATGATAACTGCTAATTATCACATACATTTTTCACTGCAATTAAAATTGTTTTGAATAGATCAAATAACAAATTGCTCGCGAGTAATCCTACGGTTAAATAAATATCCAAGCATTATTATTAGTTAACATATTAATATTTTCAATAAAAATTGAAAAAACATTTTAGAAGTACATGATACATGTTACAGAAAGTTAAAATTATCAAGAACAGAAAGTCAATTCGAATAACGTGATTTTATGCGTTATACGTACATAAAACCGTTTTAATTTATTCTGAAGATAATTTTTATATTAGAATGTCTTTATAACATAACTTTTTTCTACACGTATAAATATCATGCCTAAAAATGTTTTAACAATATTGCAATAGTCCGTAATTAAGATATTTATTTAAAATATATATTATCATGTGTAAAAATCCTTTTTTCGTCTCAATGCTTGCGCAAAGCACAATATTCTTATACGTTATACACAATATTCTAATACGTTAATCGTTGTTTTTTCCGACCGACGCTGTATGACGTCCCAAATATGGACATGTAAAAGAGGAAACGCGCATCTCCTGATCGTTGTGTCGAGAACCGAGAGAAGAGAAACAGGCCATGCTATGATCTCTCATTTGCCTCGTAAAAAAAAGAACAAAACGTAAAAGAGCAGATGCAACGTAGAAGCAGTATCGCGTTTTACGGCCGCGTAATATAACCAATGGTCTATCGCTAGTGTACATCCGAGTCGTCGGGAAGTTATTACAATATCGTAATATACCGATAATTTCCACGTTTCTTTCTTTAATTCATATCAGTCGTAGAGTTTCTGGTTACGACTTCACGTCGATTTATTCAATTTTCAAGCGCTCTTTTTCATCACTGAACACTCGTTGATCTTATTACTTTCTATTTTTACGGCACGACTTTGGTTTTTGTATCTATATACATATATCTTTATATACGATTTATATACGATTATATACGTAGCATATCGTAATAAGGATATTATTTTTTATACAAGACTTACATGATACAAGCTCGCGACAGTTTAATGAAAAAGCTATTAACGAGCAGATATCGCGACGCGATTTCTCATACTTTCGGTCAAGTGAAGTTTTTGAAAAATGGAATACAGTTGTATCGCAAACTTCGTGCTAGAGCCGGCTGTACATGTAATAAGTAATGGTGTAAGGGATGTAAGGAAGCCTTGATAATTCTTCGAGCATGTAGCCACGCAATTAAGGTGTAACGTTTCGAAGTTCTGGTCGTAAACAACGCGGGCAAAGTAGCGGAACCTTCGAGGCTCGGTTCCGCCCGTCAATTGTTACCAATTGTTGCCAATCAGAGTAATACGTGTCATTATACCGAGAGAAGGCTGGCAGCGGTGCGCAGCGCTGCTGCTTGCGTACCAGCCTGATTACACCGCGGGTAATATTAATTTGGCGCTAATTGGATAGTATCTGACGGACGCGCGCGCGGATCGAAATCAGTGTTTTACAGAATGATGCGCCCTTGCCTCCTAAAAAAAATGAATTCCCTTTTTCGCCATATGTAAACAATTTGTAAACAATTCGGCAACGTGATACCTTTTTAACATTCGCGGTTTTGCAAGTTTATATTTATT